AGTGAGTGCTGGGATGTGCCGTCTCGTTGGGCGCAGGCGGCACTGCGGCTTGTAGAGTCGCCACCGTGGTCTCCAACTTTGCGAATCGTGCCTCCAGATCGGGTTTCCAGCAGAGGAAATCCTTGATCTGCGAAGATTGGTTTTGAAGCTGCTTGAGGACGTGGGCGGAGTCGGCCTTGGCGTCTTGGTGCAGCTTGTCCAGGTACTCCTTGAGGGACGGATCCATGGCGGCGAGGAAGACTTGTCGCGCCTGGACGCGGTGGCGAGTCTCCAGGGTTGGAACGGCGGAGAGGAGTGGTGGAGTGGTCTCTGATACCAGGATGGTATGATATCAATTGATCTATTACCAATCTCAGATACAATCTCGAATTAGGGATACAATCAGCCTAGCTATTCTTGCAGGGAAAAAAGGGGAATGAGAAAGAGAGCCACCGATCTGATCCCACTGGATGCCTCGCTCATCTTGCTGGTGAGTGTAAGTAGTTGGCGCAACCGGGCCAACCCTAGCGAGTCCATTCCGGCCCAGTGAACCTCCTGTTGGGCTGCATGATGCGGGCCGGCTTGCTGGAGACGTGCCTGGGTGTGTAGCCGTGCGTGCCGCCCGGGTTGATCGCCGTGGCAGGCTGTTGACCTGGCGCTACCACGGTGTCCTGCTCTTGTGTAGTTGGGGCACTGACACCAATGTACTGAAATTTTTGGTCTACATGTTTCTACTACTTCTAGCTATAATTCCATTTCTTGTCCTTGAACAAGCTACAGAAAGTGCAATAGAACAGGTTGCAGCAAGTAGCTTATGGACTGAAATTTGTGGCATTCATTTCTCGTATTTCGCTAGGTTGATCCTGGCCATGAAACTAAATGTGACATGTTGTTAATGTAATTGCCAAAGTGCACTCCAAGAATAAGTAAAAGATTACATTAGACATGACTTACAGGTTGGTTGCATTCTCCATTTTCAGCACCTGCACCTGCGTCCATCTCCTCCTCAAGGACCACCAAAAGGGCCTCCAGCCGCTGCCGCCGTCACGCCACTGGTGATGTTGTTCCGCGCCGCCCTTGCCACTAGAACACCTCTGCAGCATGTCGCGGGGTGAGCTGGAGCTGCGCCAGCGCGCAGGGGGAGGGGGAAGCTGCGGTTGCTCACGCAGGCATCAGTGAGGCAAGGGCGAGCTGCGCCGCCTCATGCAGACATCGACGAGCACTGGCGGCGAGCTGCGAGGGCTCGCGGAGGCATCAGTGAGGTGGTGGTGTGTTGCACTGGTGCGCGCAGGCGTTGGCGAGCAAGCTAGGGCGGCGAGCTGCGGTGGCTCACATAGGCATCAGGTGGAGACCAGGACGAGAACCTCAAAGCAATCCGACCCAATCAGTCCACACACGCATCAGGTAGAGTTAATTGCACAGAAGTACCACAACTAGGGCATCACATGCAGATTGGCACGCATCACATGCAGATTGGCACCACGATTGCTAATTTTTACATGTCAGTACCAGCATTGCAACAGACTTTTGCAAAAAGGTCTAAACCATGTATAAACATGTATTGACGGTGTATCTGACTGGCAGGGGCCACCTGTCAGGCGCCGATGTGGCATTTTTTTTTACAGAAAACCCCCTATTTTGCACTAATCACATAAACGCCCAATTATTTGGCGGGGAAAAGGCTCCGGTGAGAAGTTTTTTTGTTCACAATATTGCAACACCGAACCGGACTTTTTTGAACTTTTTGTTACGTTGGACAAAGAAATTAAATAAACAAAAAAGAAGCGCTGACAGGATTCGAACCTGCAACGCACGATGCAGACGCTGGACGCACTAGCCACCACGAGACATTAACTGCTGTGTTATTAAACAAGCTACAGAAAGTGCAACAGAACAGGTTGCAGCAAGTAGCTTATGGACTGAAATTTGCGGCATTCATTTCTCGTATTTCGCTAGGTTGATCCTGGCCATGACACTAAACGTGACATGTTGTTAATGTAATTGCCAAACTGCCCTCCAAGAATAAGTAAAAGATTACATCAGACCTGACTTACAGGTTGGTTGCATTCTCCATTTTCAGCACCTGCACCTGCGTCCATCTCTTCCTCAAGGACCACCAAAAGGGCCTCTAGCCGCTGCCACCGTCACGCCACTGGTGATGC